GTGGGAACAGCCCAAAGTCCCCAAGGACACCGAGTGGGAACAGCCCAGAATCCCTATGGACACGAAGTGGGAACAGCCCAAAGTCCCCAAGGACAGAGAGGGGGAACAGCCCAAAACCCCCACAGACGCAGACTGGGAACAGCCCCAAGTCCCCACAGGCACACACTGGGGACAGCCAGACACTGCTTCAGACACAGACTGGGGACAGTCAGAACCCCCTCCAGACAGGTGTCCCCAACAATCAGAAGCCCCCAGTGACACCAGAAGAGATGGAGCAGCGGGAAGAGGCTTCGAGAGAGGATCCTATGCCCATGGAAGTTGGCCCAGGTGAGTTCCAGGGGTGCCAGGGAGGATGTGCTTCCCCTTCCCCAGCAGTCCGGGGCTCTGGCAGAGTCCAGGGCAGAGGTGCATGGCCCTGGTGCTTGGAGGGGCATTGCCAGGGAGCCTTGGGATCTTGTCACTGGACAGTGAAGAGGGTCTGGACATGGGAATGCAGCCTGTGGAGATGGTGGGGTGAGGCTTGAGGCTGCTCTGTGAGGTGCTGGCATGTGCCACCTTGCTGTCCTTCCCTCCCAGCCCTCCCTCTGCTTTTGGCCCATTGTAGCTTCACTCCAGTTCGTCCTGATACCTTCCAGCCTTTCCACAGAATTGCTGGGGTTGGAAAAGTTGGAAAAGCCCTCGGAGATCCTTGGGTCCAACTGTCCCCCAGTACTGCCAAGGCCCCATGTGCCCAGGTACCACATCCACATGGCTTTAAATCCCTGCAGGGACAGGGACCCCACCACTGCCTGTTCCAGGGCTGGACAGCCCCTTCCAGAAGGAATTTTCCTGATAGCTGATCCACATCCTGGCTCTTGAGCCACAGCTTTCTCCAGCTCTTCCACACGCTCCCAGCAATCCCTGGTTCATATTGCTGGAGCGGGGACCTGGGAGGTCTCCATGGGTTTTTAAATCCCTGTTCCCTGCAGCAGAACTCCCCATCCTGATGATGAATGTGATGTCCCTGGGGGACCATCAGCCGGGGACGGCGGCAGAGGAGCACCCGGAGATGGAGGAGGATCTGGCAGAGCCTGACACTGGTGAGTCACCCTGTGCTGGGGACATGGGGCCTGGCAGGTGGGTGGGAAGCAGCTTCCAGAGGTGATGGGCTTGAAATAGGGAGGGAAAAATAAGTTTCAGGGGTTCCTTTTATTTTTTCCTGCACCATCATGTGGGTTTAGAGGTGGGTCCCTCATGACACTGGTCCCCATGGCACCCATGGAGGGCTCAGCCTGGCAGCCCTCCAGGGATGGGCACTCCATCCCTGCCCTGGGCCACCGTGCCATGGCTGGACAACCCTTTTGGGGAAGGAATTTTCCCAATATCCAACCTGGACCTCCCCTGGCACAGCTCAAGGCTGTTTCCCCTTGCCCTGTCCCTGTTCCCTAGGAGCAGAGCCCAACCCCTCCGGCTGTCCCCTGCTGTCAGGGAGCTGTGCAGAGCCACAGCTTTTCTGAGCCTCCTTTTCTCCAGGCTAAGCCCCTTCCCAGCTCCCTCAGCCCCTCCTGGGGCTCCTCCAGACCCTTCCCAGCTCCGTTCCCTGCCCTGGACACGCTCCAGCCCCTCAATGTCTTTCTTGTCATGAGAAGCCCAGAGCTGCCCCTGGGACTGGAGGTGCTCCAGCAGGGCCAGCACAGGGAGGGGCCCTGGTCCCGTGTCACACCGGTGCTGACACCAGCACGGTGTCTCTCTGTTCCAGAGGAAGCCTTTTCCATGGAAGATGAAACACCGTGCGAAGGGGCTTCTCTTGAGGACATCAAGGTGAAGGAAGAGGAGCCTGAGCTGCTAGCAGAGGAATCCACAGCCTCACCCGGCTCAGAGATCCAGAAGTGTCCCAAAAACGAGCTGGTGAAAGCCAAGATGAAGAAGAAGCCAAACCGCTGTGAGGCCAGCAACCTCCTGATGGGCAACTGCCGGCGCGGGTACGTGCGGGAGTGGTCCCATCCCTGCACGGAGTGCGGGAAGCGCTTCCGCCTCAAGATCAACCTCATCATCCACCAGCGCAGCCACGCCAAGGAGGGGCCCTACGAGTGCCCCGTGTGCGACATCGGCTTCAGCAACAAGCGGCACCTGGACCTTCACCGCAGCATCCACGTCAAGGACAGAGCCTTGGGGGCCAAGGTCTGGGGCAACGTCCACCCCGAGCTGCGCGTCCGCCCGCGCAGGGTCCTGTGCGGTGGCCACAGGCCGGGCGGCGGCGGCCACGCCGGGGCGGCCTGGCCGGGCCAGCCCAAGGAGGAGCCGGACGGAGAGGGCCTGTCCGGCTCCGGGATCGTGCAGCCCCCCAACTCCAGGCAGAAATGCCCCCACTGCAAGAAGTTCCTGTCCCGCTCCACGTCGCTGCGGCGGCACCTCCAGACGCACGCGCGGGAGCGGCCCTACTGCTGCAGCTCCTGCAACAAGTGCTTCACGCGCAGCAATCACCTCCTGCGCCACAAGAAGATCCACGAGAGGGCTCTGGCCGCGCTCCAGCAGGAGGCCAGCGCCCAGGCCCCCGCTGCTATCCCGGCGTCCCTGCAGCACCAAGCTCCCAAGGCTGAGAGGAGCCCTTCCCAAGAGAATGGGCGCCCTGAGGCTGCAAAAGCGAGTCTGCCCAGCGTGCTGCTGTTGGGAGCGACGCCACTGGGGCTCCCGGGCAGAGGCTCCCCGCTCCCTGACTGCATCAGGAAAGCTGTGCAGCCCGTGGTCCAGCTGGGATCGAGGGCAGTGGCTTCGGAGATGACAGAGAAATGACAGATGACAGACCCTGGGACAGATGTGAACTGTGTGTGACCCTGAAGAGAAGCTGCGAGTTTGTTTGCGTTTGTCCCGCGAGTTTGGTGTCTCGTGGGACACCAAGAATGGGAATCTGCTGTGTTTTAGGTGTTTCCTGGGTTGTGGAAAGAATGGGAAGCTTGGAGACCACAACAGAAAGCAAATTGCAGAAGCCTCCAGTGATGTATAATGCTTCACCATTCCACTGACTTGTTCGAGTTGGCTGATAGTTGGAATTTTCCCAAGCTGACATTCCTGGGAGATGACCAGGTGAATCCTGGTCAAACAGGAGCAGAGCTTTCGCATTCTTTGATGTTGGAGCTGATCCCTTGCATTCGGAAACACAACTGAAGAGGGCAGGGAGAAGGGAATGAAGCTGGCAGCATTCTCAAGCAGCCCTTTGCTCCATGGACCAAGCTTCCTGACTGAGACACCAGATGGAGAGTGACATCTCTGAGACCCCACTGTGTCCTGGCCACCCTTGCCACCCCCACCCTGGGGCGGAGATCAGCAACACTCCCTCCAGCAGCTTGGGAACACTGGAGTTTTGCACTGGAAGATCCATAGGACAAACCAAACCCCAAAATTCTGTGCTGGCGTATCCCAGGGATCCCAGCATCAGGGAGGCCACAAACGCCCTCAGGACCATCCTGCGTGGGTGCAGAGTGATTTTAGGAATACTTGACGGGTCAGCCAGCCCCATGCTGCAGCAGCACCCCAATCCTCATGGATGTGCGTGCCCAGAGCAGCCCCTCAGCTCTGTGGGAAACTCCCACTCTCCCAACCACAGCTCGTCCCCTTTCGCCCAAAATCCCACCATAACAAATCCTATGGGAAAACAGTTCTGTAGCTACCTCAGTGAGGGAGAGGGGGACCTGCCCAGAGGCAGCCAGTGGGAGCCAGGCCTGGCACTGCCCCAGTGTCCCCGGGAGCCACCGGAGCAGTGTCCGTGCCCCACGTGCATCCCACCCGCTGGGTGTGCACGAGGAGCACCTCCCGCCCGGAGCCAGCGCCACACGGACACGGTGGAGCAGCTGCTGGGGGCTCTTGCATTTAGTTTTCCAGGTTTTATTGGTTTGGGTTGCTCGATGTAATTATTTGATGTTCTGAGGTCTCTGTCCCTCTCTGAGCAGTGAGCACTGGTAGGCTTTTCCCATCTTTTATTCCGAGTCATTCCCAAGGTGTGGTGATGCTGCTGTGGGAAGCTTTGGGAGCTGAGGGAACGCCTGTGCCACATCCAGGTGTGATCCTCAGCCACCTCCTGCTCCATGGAATGGACAGCAGGGTCCGAGCTGCTCCACAGCAATACACATGACATCCCACTGCTCCTCTGGGCTGGTGTCTCACGTTTCCTGCCCCTGGGATTGCATTGTGGAGCATTCCAAGCCTGCAGCAGGAGACAGGAGGGGTGCCAGGGGCAGTTGGTGCCTTGTGGACACACGGCCATGGATCTGGCAGTGAGCCAGCTGTTGGTTATCCCTGTTATCCCTGCCCACGTAGAGATCCCAATGCTCCCCAGTTGATCCCAGGGGCATGGTTGAGCTTGTGTGTTGGTGGCTGAATGCCCCCAGGCCAGCAGAAGGGGCCAGCAGCCCCAGCCTGGCATTTCTAAATCTGCTGTGACCAGGAGCGGCGTTTCCTGCGACATTCCTGATCCCTTTCTCAGGCTGTGGAATCAATAAACTATTTGTCTCTATGTCTGGCTGCTTTGGGGGCTGTGCTGGTGCCTTGGGCACAGAACTGGGATCAGCCAGGACAGCTGATCAGCAGGAGGGTTTTGGGAGTCACTGCCAGCAACTCCAGAGCCACTGGCAGAGTTGTGGAATCCCAGCCAGGAAGGACGAGTGGGTAAGGGAAGCTGGGAAGGACAGGGAATGGAGTGACCCTGGCCACCATGGGTGGGACACGTCCCTCAGCATTGCCAGGGAGTCCCTAGGTACCCAGATCCTACTGAGAATCCTGTGGGGGGTTCCTGTGGGACTCTCCACATTCCCATCACATTCCCAGCAGGTAGTTCTGCGTTCCTCCCCCACTGAGCCGGGGATGTCACCCCCCAGCTGCCCCTGAGCACAACAGGAGACCAGTCAGTTCAGTCTTTTATCTGATTCTCTTCCCGGCTGGGCTATCAACTGCCCCCAGGCCACTGACCACTCCCAGCCCCGCTCCCAGCACAGTGGTGCTGTTCAAACAACCGAGTTCCACCCTGGGATCTGACACAGCCGCTCCTCTGCTGCCTCGGGGCCAGTCCCATGCCACCCTGGGCCCTTCCCTGCCCAACAGCACAGGAGGCTCCCTCCTCCTCCTGCTCCTCCTGCTGCCACCCAGGTGGTGCCACAACTCCCACAGCATCGTGCACAAACTCCCGCTGCTGCCACAAGCCCCAGCCGTCCCACGTGCAGAACCGCTGTCCCTTCCCTTCTCCAGCCCTCTGGCTACCGATTATCCTGGCTCAGAGCCTCGCAGGGCTCCAGCTCCGGCTCGTGTCCCGGCAAGCTGCCGGCCGGAGAGGTGGCCACGGCGGCGTGCACCTTCTGGTGGTGGTTCAGCGACTGGCGGTGCCGGAAGCTCTTGGTGCAGCCGTGGCACTGGAAGGGCCGCTGCTGCGTGTGCCGGCGCTGGTGCTCCTCCAGCGACGCTTTTTGGGGGAAGCTCTCGGCGCACTCGATGCAGCGGTAGAGCCGCTCGCCGCCGGCGCTGCCCCGCGTCGCCCGGCCCGGCCACGCGCTGCGGAGCTGCGGCCCGTGGATGCGCTGGTGCTTCTGCAGGTGGTGCTTCTGCACGAAGCCCTTGCCGCAAGCGGGGCAGCGGTACGGCCGCTCCCCGGTGTGGATCCGGTAGTGCTTGTTGAGGTTGGACTTCTCGTTGAAGCTCTTGCCGCAGGCCGGGCACTGGAAGGGCCGCTCGCCCGTGTGCAGGCGCTGGTGCCGCAGCAGCGCGGCGTGGTGGGCCAGGCTCTTCCCGCACGACGTGCAGATGAAGGAGCCGTTGCTCTTCCTCGCCCGGCTCTGCTGCCTCGCCAGGAGGTTCCGTGTCAGCCGGACGCTCTTCCAGCCCGGCGGCAGCGCCCGGGGATCGTCCCGGGGACTCTGCTGCTCCCAGCCGGGCTGCGGCGATGCCACCTCGGCCGCCGGGTCTTCTCCCAGCGGCATTCCCTGGGCGAGCGCGAACGGCTGCTCCGTGCCCGCGCCCAGCGCCTGCTCCGTGGGGAAGGGCAGGCCCGGGGCAGGGTGAGCTTCCACCGGCACCACCACCGGCTTGAATTCCCCCAGGCAGAATTCCCCCAAGCCCTCTCCGGCCGCCTTCGGCCCAGCCACGCCGTGGCTCTCCCAGGAAACCGGCTGCTCCTGGCTGAGGGGAACCTCCTCGTCCAGCCTGACCGCGGGCACCATCGGTAGTGCCAGGAGCTCAGCTCCATCCTCCTGCGGCTGCTGCTCTTCCGTCTTGATCACGATCATCTCACCTGTGGAGAGACCACAGTTCATTCCCAGGAAGTCCTCCCGTGCCTCCAGCTCCAGAGTGGGAGGTGAGAAGAACTGGCAAAGAACGAAAGGGAGCAGGAAGGGATTCCCAGGAGGAGAGGAGGTGAAGGGGGGTTGTCCGGGCAGCTTGTTGGACCTCAGGGACATCATGGAATCATGGAATTAGTGAGGTTTGCAAAGCCCTTCAAGATCATCAAGTCCAATCATCAACCAAGCACTGCCAAGGGCACCACTGCCACATCCACACAGCTTTTAAATCCTTCCAGGAATGGAGACTTCACCCCTGCCCTGGGCATGCTGCACTCAATGACACTATGGACTGACAATAAAATCTCCACAAAAAAACCAAACCAGAGGGAAAGTGAAGGCAAAGCTGAGGTGCAGAGTCCTCCATTCTGGAAGGAACCTCATCAGGAATGGCAGAGTTTAAACGTGTGAATCCAGGGAATCCAGGATCAAAGCAAAGCCTCCCCAAAGCAGGAGGGAGCATCCCCCCACAGGTACCCAGCTCCGGAGCCACCCTCGCTGAGCCTTGCCCAAGGTTTTCCCATTTTCCATCCTTAAGAACTTGGCCCAGTCTGGGCAGGTTGTCAGTGCCCATCCTCAGCCCCCCTCGCTGCCACTCACTGTCACCAAGCTGTCCTGGCACCGCTCCCTTGTCCGGCAGCCCGGGGCTCCCTGGATCCTCCCTGTCCTCGGCTGGTGGCAGCAGTGCAGGTTTGGAACCAACATCCTCAGACCCTGGGAAGGAGGGAGCAGTGGGATGAACTGCTGACAGTGGGACCAGCCAAAGCAGGGTCCTGGAATTCCAGGATATCTGATCACACAGGCCACTGGCAGCTGATCCAGGCACATAATTTTTGCTTATCCCGGGAAGCGCCTGATGGACACTCAAGCTCTAAAATTCCAGCCCAAAATTAATTAAAATGTAGGACTCTCTGCAGCAAATCTGTGCAGGGTGATCCATGTACAGCCCATATCCCAGGAAAAAAACAGTGCAGGAACACTGATTGCAGGACATGTCACCTGGAATCCCCCCATGTTCCACATGGGGAGGGTTTGGAAGCTGCATCAACCCAGGGATGATGATGCTTCTGACATGATCTGAGCGATCCTCACCCAGAGGGACCGAGGCCTCATAATTCCCCTTCCTGGCGATCCCACGGAGCTCCCGGCTGTCCACGCTCCCCAACTCCTGCTCCGACAGAGCAGCCTCCTCGCCCGCCGCCGGCACCTGGAAGTACAGGAGGCTCCACCTGGGGGTCTCCACTGAGCCCCTCCCTGAGCCCCTGTGGGTCTGGAGCCCCTACGGACAGAGCCAGGTCAGGGGGGACATCCCCAGACATCCCAGCGAGGCTCAGCCGTTCCTCCCCAGACCGGGGCAGATTCCCAGGATCCATCCTGGCAGCCAGGTGAGCAGTGACACCTCAGGTGGGAGCAGGACAGGTGGCACCATCCCACATCAATCCAGTAAGGCCCAACACGGCTGAAACACTTGGGGTGGGTGTTCTGCTCCCCCTCTTCCCTGAGGACAGGGACAAGCACCAGAAGAGCCGTGTCCCTCTGGCTCCCTGCAGCTCCTGAGAGCCAGCAGCACTTCCCATGGCCACACGGTCACCTGGGGCACTTTCCCACAGCTTTGGGCACATCTCTGTCACCTGTGGTCTCTCCCTGTCACGCTGAGCACATCCCTGAGAGCTGGGACACATCCCTGTCCATCTCTGGCACATTCCCATTAGCTGGCGCTTGTCCCCATTTGTCACCGCCGGCATGTTCCCGTTATCTGGGGCTTGTCCCCATTGCCTACACCCCATCCCCGTTCCCTGGGACTCATCCTCATTACCGTGGGCCCATTCCTGCAGCCATGGGCTCATCCCGTTCCCCAGAGCCTGTCCCTGCCACCCACCGCTGGCACGGCGCCGTCCCCGCGGGCTCAGCCCGATCCCCGTTCCCGGCGGCTGGTTCCCGTTCCCCGGGCCCATCCCGTCCCCGTGCGGGCCCGAACCCTGCGGCGGTTACCTGTGTCGGTTCCCGGCCGGTGCCGGTGCCGGTGCCGGTGCCGGTGGCGGTGCCCCCGCAGCGGCAGCGGCGGAGCTGGCGCTGGATGCGGCGGAGGCGGCGGGAGTTGTCCCGGAGGAGCGCGGCCAGCCGGGCCCCGCCGGCCCGCACCGTGCGCTCCAGCCCCGCCACGCGCCGCTCCAGCCGCTCCAGCCGCCGCTCCGCCGCCTCCACGCTCCGCTCCAGCCGCCGCTCCGCCGCCGCCACCGTCCGCAGCGACAGCCCCGCCGGGGCCGCCCCGCCGGGGCCCGCGCCGGGATCGGGGCCCGCGCCCTGCCAGGCCTCGGGCGCCCACTCGGGGTCCTGCTGCTGCGGGGGGAAGAGGGCGGTGAGGGGGGCGCCGCCGGGGCTCCGGGGCTGCCGGTGCCGCGGGGTCCCGCCGGTACCTGCGCGCGGCCCCGCTGGGCCATGGCCGCCCCTCGCCGCCGCCGCCGCCGCCGCGGCGCCCCCTGCCGGCCCCGCGCCGCCAGCGCCGCCCCGCCCGCGGCCGCCGCGCCGAGACCCCGGCCCGGCCCGGCCCGGCCCGGTTACAGCCCGGTTACAGCCCGGTTATAGCCCGGTTATAGCCTGGTTACAGCCCGGTTATAGCCTGGTTACAGCCCGGACACAGCCCGGACACGGCCCGGTTACAGCTCGGTTACAGCCTGGTTACAGCCCGGACACAGCCCAGACACAGCCCGGTTATAACCCGGTTATAGCCTGGTTAGAGCCCAGACACAGCCCGGACACAGCCCGGACACGGCCCGGTTACAGCCCGGTTATAGCCTGGTTACAGCCCGGACACAGCCCGGACACGGCCCGGTTACAGCTCGGTTATAGCCCGGTTATAGCCTGGTTACAGCCTGGACACAGCCCGGACACGGCCCGGTTACAGCTCGGTTACAGCCCGGTTATAGCCCGGTTACAGCCCAGACACAGCCCGGTTACAGCTCGGTTACAGCCCGGTTACAGCCTGGTTACAGCCCGGACACGGCCCGGTTACAGCCCGGTTATAGCCCGGACACAGCCCGGACACGGCCCGGTTACAGCTCGGTTATAGCCCGGTTATAGCCTGGTTATAGCCCGGACACAGCCCGGACACGGCCCGGTTACAGCCCGGTTATAGCCCGGTTATAGCCTGGTTACAGCCCGGACACAGCCCGGACACAGCCTGGACACG